GACCATCTTACTCGTCCAACGAGGGATCGCCTAAGTAAGTAAGTAAGTAAGTAAGTAAGTAAGTAAGTAAGGAAGACACCTAGTTCCCTAGAAGCTACTTTTTTGAATACTGCCAGATATTGATTTATGTTTCATCTTGGTCTACTCTTGCTTATACACCCAAATTGCAAGCATACCTGGAGTGCAGCGAGGAGAATGCCACAGGCAATAGAAACACTGATCTCATTGTAGTAATGAGTTTTCTTTTTTCCATCTGGAAGCATTCCATGCACCTGCTTGAAAATAAGGATCAAGTAGGGAGCTGTATCCAAGTATTCTTTGATCCAGTTAGTCCTAGGAAAATATTTTTAAAACAAAGTTATTCAAGCAGTTGACTCATATTACAACATGACCCCTATATCCACAGGGTACACATTCCCGGACTTCATGTGGATATATGAAACTGCAAATAATAGTGCATCCTATTATTTTCAATAGAGCAAGCTAAGATGGTTCCAAGAAGATGGTATAGCTTGAGCAGAGGCATTAAGTGAATATGTGAAACTGAATAACTGAAAAGAAAATATGAAAATACCATCTTTCCTTGATTCAAAGATGCCATGGATGGTAACACACACACAAATTTCAGTACCACCAACAGACAGAACTTTTTATTTAAATATATAAAAAGCACCTGTGATTCTCAAACGGACCACAGTGTTAAAGATGCTTATATGGGGAAATGAATATGTCTTAGAATATAAAAAATACAATATGCAACAATGCATCTGATTTTTTAAAAAACGAAAGTAGTTTGAATTATTCCGTCAAAATGAAAGCTGTGAAGAAGCGCCATCTGCCACCTTTCTAGGCAAATGTATTGTGTGTGTGTGTAGTCAGAGTCTGGGTCAGACTACTCACATTACATTTCCTTCTATGCTTTTATTGTTGCTAGTTGCCATAGGAGGGGATTTTCCCTCCAACAAAAACAGGATTGGAGATATTTTTATAGTTATATCCCATCCTAATGTTAAATGCAATCTCTCAGATCTTTTGGCTCAGCTTCAGAGCAAAGCAATGTGTTGGAAATAGGATTTGTTAAATCTATACAGCTAAGTAGGCTAGTTTCTTTTAAAATATGGCAGATCAGTCAAAGTTCTTTGCCTATGGAGAAATTTCAACCAAAGGTTTTGTAATGTCTTTCAATGTTAACCTATATTTATTTACACTCTGATATATTATTAGTTTGATAGTAATCATCATCATAGTTGCTATTGTTGTTATTCTTTATATAATGCTCTATAGTAGTTTATAAGAAAGTGAACAACAACAACAACAACCAGTTCCCTGCCTTCAAACTTACAATCTTAAAACAAGGTTGTTTTAAGGAGATTAAGATCAGCTGACACTGCCTCTTTTTCTCTCCTTTAAAGCCCAGGGTAGTGGCCACTAGGACTGAGACTATGACTATGAATTGTTACTGAATATGGAGCAGTGGTCAACCCATATCTCTAGGTTATGAATCTGTAATGGTAATACCAAGATCGCATGCCCTACATCATAACAGGGTCAACAGTTTGAAGCTGCACGTTTGGGGTGAGCACCAAACTGTCAGTCCTAGCTTCTGCCTACCTAGCAGTTTGGACGAGTTTGGATCATGATTCTAGTTATGAGACGCCACTGAATGTTTATTACTGTTAAATTGTTTAATTTGTTTTTGTGTTAACTGTTTTTAAGTACCTTGTTGATGCCGCATTGAATTTTTGCCTTGATTGTTCGCCTTGTTTTTGCTTGTTGTAAACCGCTATGAGTCGCCTTAGGGCTGAGAATGGCGGTATACAAATGAAGTAAATAAATAAATAATAAATAATAGCAGTTCAAAAGCACGCAATGCAAATAGATGAATAGGTACCACCTCAGCAGAAAGGTAAAAGGGTGCCCCTTGCAGTCATGCAGACATGCTGGCAAAAAAAAAAAAATGGAAAAAAAGTGGAAATTAAAGGGATGAAAACTATTTAAATGCCATGGCATGTTTGCCCTTGGAATAAATAATCCTATTCATCAATATCTGCTCTAGTCAAGTTTACTTTATTCTGATTGCTTACTCTTATTAGCCAATGCACCTGTTGCCATTATTAGTGCTTTGAAGGTGTCCAGGATATGAATTGCTCAAGATACACACTACAGATAGCAGACTCCTTCAGCATGGAAAATAGAACAAGAGCACCTCCACATGGCCAGAAGCTGAGCAGCACATCCGGATGCTGGAGATGGAAAATTTATAAATATCTGTGTATTTTATGTCATTGCTCATGTAAAATGGCATTGAATGTTTTCCTTACATGCATACTGTAATCTGCTCTGAGTCCCTCCAGAGAAATAAAGTGGAATATAAATAAAATGTATTACTAAAATACAGAATCATAAGCAGATAAACCTTACACATAAAATATATTCCCAGTATAAAAGTGTTTATTATGAACTAGGTGTCAATATATTTATAGCAGATCATGCATGTTGGGGTTCTTAGCCAATTCACCAAACAATTCAGTAATAGCAATCTTTTGAGCATTATAGCCTGGAGCAATCAGTGCAATCGGTACCTCAGTCTTTTCAAGTCATTAACCCATCTGTCTCCCATTCTTTTCTTGTAGTTTATTTCTTCCTCTTCTTCAATTATCTCCCGAATCTTATGCTTTATTTCTACATCTTGCACGACTACAAAGGTCCAAGGCTCAGTATGAGCTCCACTGGGAGAAGTTCCTTCAATGAAATAAAAAGAAATGTTCAGACTAAAGTAAGCTGATGTGCAAAGGGATAAAAGAAAAGGGTCTTCAACCTTCAGAAACTCATGAGATTTCAGCCTGCTTCCCTAGACTCCACCTACACACATATACACACTGATTCGTGCAGCAAAGGGAAAACCCAGTTCCTGCCACAAAGAATAATGGAATGCAGCAGCTTTGTGACACATAACAACCTCATATTCTTTTGCTTGAAGCTATATATCTATTATACTTTCTTTGGCTATGTCTTAATTTTTGTACACATGAAATTTCTCTCTTTTTGGTGTACCCCAAAAACAATCATACTACACTGTTTCTTAAGCTATCTGGAAGCATTCTTTCCATGCATTTCCATAGTAATGAGAAACAATGGCCTATATGAAAGGAAAGCAAGGCAGCAATTCTCTGTTTCTGCATTTTCCCAGTTTCAGCATTACCCTTCAATTTGCACCTTCTAACATCACTTTTGACCTTGAGGGAGCTGGGGGTGGTAACGGCCGACAGGGAGCTCTGGCGTAGGCTGGTCCATGAGGTCACGAAGAGTCGGAGACGACTGAACGAATGAACAACAACAACATCACTTTTGCATGATGCATCACATCAATCTAATGTGAGAACATACATGCAATCTTCCTCAGCCTGGTGCCTCCCAGACTACATTCCCCATAACCTCCAGGGCCATGCTGCTCTAGATTATGGGAGTTTAGTTGATGAAAACATTTGATGGACTCACCAGTTTCGGCAGTGCTGATGTTGAATATTGGGAGATGGCACTTTAAGGAGTACTATAACTGAAACTAGTTGTGAATTACATTACAAAGTGTTGGCTCATTAATGTCTTCATTAAATTTACTCCTATTACAAGTATGACTCAACTCTTGTACGGTTGACACATTTGCAGTTGAAGTAAAAAAAATATGCCAGAATGGATACCCAAAAATTGACCTTTGATATAAACTCCAACATTTCCCAAACGAAGAGTGGGACATATGAGGTCAAGAGTGTGGACAAGATTGCAAAAACTATTAATGAGGAAGAACACACAAGTCAGGGGACGCTGCAGTTGTTTGTCCTTGAGACTACCGGGAGAAGCAAAAATCATCCCTCTTCTCGGCCCTGCTGCACTAATTAAATGCAAACTTTTACCCTTTGAACTCAGATTTCAGCAACAAAAGTCACTTAAGGACAAAGGGGGGAAGTGGAAGGAGGAAAAACTGGGATAGTTGAAAAAGTGGGATGGCAAAGGATTATTTTATATTCTTGTATATAAGATGACTTCATGTACAAATTGGAGACAAAATTACAGATTTTGAGATGACCTATGGATACATCAAGGGAGATAGGAAAGTGCAAGCAAAGCCTCAGGGGGTCACCCACCCCTAACTACTGGCATTTTCCCAAACAGGAATTCAAAAAGGCCAGCAGAGATACTAGAAGGGACAGTCCTTTTTAAAATGGTTTTCCTGGAACAGACTGCGCTTTCATCTTTCACCACTCTAGTCAGATATATTTTTTAGTTAGAGTTAAGGTACAGAACTTGATCTGTGGATAGTTTGATCCAACCTTTGTGGATTTTTATTTTTAAGTATGTTTCTAGTTTTATACATGAGTATATGCAGTAAGGAAATCTACCCCTGCTAGACTGTAGCAATTGAATAATATGTTTTGGTTCTCCAAATGTTTTGAACTTCAACTCCCAGAAGTCCATTCTATCTAGAGATTGCCTTTGAAGACTGTTCAGAAGTTTCAATTGGTCCAATGGGTGGCAGCCAGATTGCTCACTGGAGCAGCATACAGGAAGCATACAACCCCCCAGCTGCACCAGTACCATTGGCTGCCAGTCTGCTACTGAGCACAATTCAAAGTCCTGATTTTAGCCTATAAAGCCCTAAATGGTTCTGGCCCAGCTCACCTGTTCAAACATATCTCCTTCTATGATCCATCTCGGAGGCTAAGATTATCAGGGTGAGATCTCTGTCCCACCCCCTTACAAGCATAACTGGTGGGAATGACAGATAGAGCCTTCTCAGTGATGACCCCTCAACTATGGAACTCACTCTCTAGTGAAATTAGATTACCCCCCTCCCTTCTGACCTTCAGGAAAAAACTAAAGCCATGGCTGTGGGAACAAGCTTTTGGTCACTAAGCAACACAGTAAGAGACTACAAATAACACAAAGATTACTTGGATTGGCTCTGGAATATGATTTGGATTTTGTGATTTTAACTGATTTTTAAAGTTTGTTTTTAATTGGGTTGATTTTGATGTAGTTGTTTGTTTACCAATATGCATATGTGTATATGGCATTGAATTTTGCCTTTGTGAGGCCGCCCTGGGCCCCCTTCAGGGTGAGAAGTGTGGGGTACATGTATGTTAAATAAAGAAATAAAAGTTCAAGAACTCGCAAGGAATCCAATGTACCTGCTGTTTTAATGACATTGTCGATGACCTCCTTTGGAACAGGCTCATCACTTATAAACCTGACAGATCGTCTCTTATTGAGAAGTTCATAAAAATCCTTTGATCTCTTAACCATGTCCTCTTCAGAGTAGCGCTCAGACGAAAAGGGAGTGTGAGTGATGTCCTCTGATCCTTCCCATTCACCATCATCTGTGTGGGAAGGGACAGAAGCAAAGAGGAAAGTGACACCCTTTGTTAAAAGAGAGAAGCATGTCTGGAACATATTGGGATAAATAATAATATTTCTTACCCACCCCTCCTTGTGGCTCAAGGCTGGTTGCAACATCACTAAAACACATAATCATCTAAAAACATTTTATAAAATGTTAAACATATTAAAACATATTTCTAACAACAAAAATTAAACATAACACACAAGTTGAAAATTGCCAGAAGAGAGAGATCATCCAATGTGTTTTAAATCTTGACAGCTCATTTAGCTGTCAATTCTTCCAGCAGGTCGTTCCACAGTCTTGGGGCGGCTGATGAAAAGGTCCTCCGGGTGACGGTAGCCAGTTGGGTTCCGGCTGGTTGGAGCAGGCGCCCCAGGCCCCACATCAGCACTTTCCCCATACCATGGGGGAAAGTGTCACCGCCTGGCTTGCCTCCATGTTGGTCCCATTCTTGTCAATGAGAACAGGGGAAGTCTAGGAGGCAGGATGGAGCCCCACCAGAAGTAGCTGTTCGTTGTCTGATGGGATCTGGCAGGCTCCATCCTCTCCACATCCTGGAAGCTCCCTAGCATGCTATACTCCAGAAGCTTTATTTTTGTGGCTTCAACAAACTATGTTGAATTGGTTGAGACAGGATGAGATATTCATTGAAAAACTATAGCAAAATGTGCTGCAGGATGTCCCACAAAAACAAAGTTTTTGCAGTTTAATAAGAAAATTTCCAAAATTTTTATGATAGAATCAATTAGGAAACAACCTTTATATCCCAGGAAGAAAAAATATGTTCCACAGTGTTATTATTGCACTATTATATACATACAGTTCTCTGACTAACTTCTGACTTCCAGTTACAAATGGGATGCGAGACATACAGGAAGTGACAGAAGATCTACCCCTCAGAAGGTAAATTCACTCCCGGAAGAGTTATCATGGGGAAGTTCCAATCCAATAAGCCTTTATTGGCATATATAACAAGACATTATAAAGTACAGTATAAATTATAGAATAGGGAACTTCACATTTGTTACACATTCAATTTACAGACTTCATTCAGGAACCTTGCCACTGAGAAGCAACGATTAAAATCTTGGCAGTTTAAAAGCATAATTACTTTGTCTGGGTCTGTATGGTTTTTCATAGAATCTATCATTTGTAGTAGCAAGCTAGATCTTTGTTCCTGGAAGAGTGGGCAGTGCAGAAGAATTTGTGGGATGGAATCCAGCTGTCCTGTACTACAGGGACAAAGCCTCTTGTTGCTCGATAGACCATTGAGTCTTCCTCTATGGAGCTGAGATGGCACAATATTAAATCTAGCCAGCATGTAAGCTCTCCTGTAATATAAAGGGCTGAGTTTTCCTGTATAAATGGAATTGCCATGTTCATAGGTGAACAAGATGTATTTACCAAGATCAGCAGTTGTTTATAGTCTAATTCTAGCAGCCTCTTCTTCATGAGGGTAAAGACCTCAGTGAAAGTTAACATATTCAAGAAATCACTATCATAGCCCAGTTCCCAGGTCTTTGACAGGACTTTTTACACCATTTTGAGTGGTGGAGTTCACTCAAGGTGAGTTGGGTCAAAGAGTTACTGGGGCTTGGTAGTGAATATATAACCAAATTTTATGATTTTTAGCAAGATAGTGGCCTCTATAGAGTATTGGCTGGGATTCTAAGCATAGAAGTATGTACAGGACGCAGTTTGGGACACCAAATAATTTGTGCAGGAATTTTGAGTGGACTGATCTAACGGCATTGTTATTAGAGCTTAGCCATATGGGAGCTCCATAGAGTAGTTGTGCTCTCACCTTTGCTTGAAAAACTTGCAGAGCTGGAGGAATATATTGGTCACCCCTGGAGTGGTAAAAACTGATGATGGCACTGGGGAAGTTTTTATCACCAATACTTGTTTCCATGGCAACCCAAAATTTTCAGAATCCAATTGTCACAGGGACAGAAGGTGAGTTGAAATCATCTGAACAGAGGCACAGACAGCAAAAGAAATTCCCCATCCTCATCTGCATTGTAAAACTTCTTATATCTTGATACTAGTATGTTCAGTATTTCACTACCACCACAGGTGTTTAGAGATAGGAGCAAAACATAGAAGATGAAGTTCATATTAAAGGGTTGGAAGCAGAGAGAGCACCATTCTTTTATAGAACTCTGATCACATGCAGTTAATTTCTGCCTTGAGAATACAGGGTGCATCTGAACTGTAAAATGAATGCAGTTTGACGCCACTTTAAGGAATCTCTATTATGGTACAAAGCTATGCAATCATGAGTTATTTTACAAGGTCTTTCACCTTCTTTGCCAAAGAGTGCTGGTGCCTCAGCAAATTACAAATACCAAGGTCTCATAGCATTCAGCCATGGCAATTAAAGTTGTGTCAAACTGCATTAATTCTACAGTGTAGATGTACCTAGACAGTGGGTAGAACATTGACAATATTTGCAAATTTGGTAAAGACAATATTTGTAAATGTAAATAATCAAAGTTACCAAAATACATGTCTTTGTTTGATGAAGAAATATATCTTATCAGGGTTACATTTTCTAATACAGCCAACTGTGTTAGGAAAGTCAGAATTTTGACCTTGGGCTCATAAAATCAATGAGAGCCGTCCAGCTTTGTTAATGTTCTTTTTAGTGTCATTGCAAAATCAGTAAAACATTAGGGAGATATCTTTATTAATGTGTAAGCTAATGCAAATAAATTGAAATGTCTTATGGGAAACAGTGGAATATACAATGGCATAATATAAGTGCGAGCTGCCATTAATAAACCTAAAGGCCAGTTTTTATCTGTTGTGTATTGACTCAATATAAACAAAAATGTAAACCTTTCACGTTTTAATATTTGGTTTTGCAAAATCTAAGAGAGTTCAACAGAGACAGACAGCACAATCCTAGGCACGTTCACCTAGAAGTAAGTTCCATTAAGGTAAATTATACTTACTTCAGGATATTTATGTAAGGATTGCATTCCTAGCCTGTTGAATCAATTGTTTAGACTACTATCCTGGGAATAACTCCCACTGAAATCAATGAAACATACTTCTGAGTGCTCATGCATGAGATTCTGTTGCTACACGTGCAATTATCGTAGTGTATGGCCATGATTTTTTCATGATAGCGAAATTATGCTTGTAGAGCTTCTTTGTAGAACACATTAACTAGATCTGCACAAATGCTGACACAAGCCAATATGGAATGAGTATGCCTCTGTCATGAAAAGGGTATAGCATAGTTGCAATCAAAATGTGGTCAAGATGGCAGAAGTTACTGATGAATTACTGATGAAATTACAAACGAGCTAGATGAGGCTGAAGCAGTTTGCTTTTGTTTTAGGCTATTACCCATTATATTGTAATATAATGCTGATTGAAACTGCATTATATGGTCAGTGTTGACTCCTACTATGTAGTTTAACTGCATTGAACTGCATTCTATGAGTCTGCACTGATCATATAGTGCAGTTTCAAACTGCATTATATGTGCAGATGGGGTCTTTGAGGAAGGGTAAGATTTGACCCACCTTTCTTCCCTGCCCATGTTGAGTTAACTGAATGCAAAGTACTTTTCCACTTTAATTTTTGTCGCAGTTGAGGGAAGTCAAGGAGAAAGTGAGAAAGTGGGCAGAGGGCAGAGAGACTGTAACATATTAAACGCAGCTGAAGAACTGGAGTGGCAGGATCAATTGGGACTGTTCATGCTAGATTGGGACAGTTAAAGGGTATGATATTATTGAAATACTGATCACCCTCATGTGGTTATTAAATGGTACCCTGACTACTTTACTGTTTAGGATTCATTATGATAAAAAATACCTTTTTCTTAATGGTATAAGAGTGAAACATTTGTGAGTTAAAAGAGAACAAAACTTCCAGTATTTCCGGTGGTGATATTCGCAACACTAAAACAGTAAGTTCTGTGCTCTTTCTCCTTAGTAAAATATAAATTTGCTGGTGGTGATATTTAAAAAGTCCTCCTTTTGGTTGCAAGCAGAAATGACAGAAAAACCACCCACATGTAGGAACTTTAATTTTTTCCAGTCTGTAATCTAATTCCATTATAAGCGAGTCTAGTGAATCTACCCAAGCAGTTCAGTGAACTGGAATATCACGGACAGTTGGGTCACAGGCATGTTATTTTCTCTAGATGAATGCTGCATCTCTCCTTTCTCCCTTTCCTTTAACTCTGCGAGGACAAGCAAATCTGAATACTGGTGTAGAAATTCAGTTTGACTCTTTCTCTCACTATATGGGTGGTAAATTTATTGCAGTATAGCTTTGGTTTATTTCCATCCCTTGGGATATTATTTCTGTCCCTAGGCTCTTATTTCATTGTCTCAGTGTCTAACATAGAATTTTACACAGAAATTGGTTATTCCATGATTACCAGAGTGGTATTGTACTTGGAGTATTCAATATATACCAGGGCGATTTCAGTTCATATGAACTGTTTTCTTTGTCCACAAAATCTAGTGGGGCTGGTCACCAGAGCTGCTTATCCCACCCTTTCGGAGTGTTGTGATAAAATAGGAAACACTATATGCCACCTTGAGCTCCTTTGGATGAAGTACAGTATGAAGAAATAATGAAGTGAGCTTAGGGCCCTTCCACACAGCCATATAACCCAGAATATCAAGGCAGAAAATCCCATAATATCAGCTTTGAATTGAGTTATCTGAGACCACAGTGCTATATATTCCAGTACAAAGCTGGTAATGTGCTAGGCCCAGGGGGCTTCCACACAGCCCTTTAACCTGAGAACATTTGCATTTTAAAAACATGAATGTTCCGGGGTCCCCCTCCACACGCACCCCCGAAAGCACTATCCCGCAGCTGGTCACCACTTTAATGGATCATGGTTATATCTCATGAATAAATCACACCAATGGTCATCAGCATAAAGGATCTTAGTTACTAATCCCACAGCTGTACACCTATAATAAAATCAGAATCCTGCTGGTCACC